CATAATGAACACACGTGTCCACAGACATAAGAAACGGAAATGCTGGTTCTCCAAAGAAACAATACGTTCAAGTGTTTCTGTGGATGTTCGGAAGAGAACTTGTAATCCTTTTCGTCGTAATGTATTTTAGCCCGAATGCTTCGGAAAACGGGTCACGCAACGTTGAGTTTACATCCTGTCTCCATTCTATACTGGAGTTGCTACGCTTCCGTTCTATGGAAACCTTCCAAAAATAAATTTTACACAATAAACGTCTATCATAATTGCTTCAGGCTAAACGCATTAGCAGAATAAAGAGAACAGCGGATTTTTCATAATTCTTCCGGTATCTGGGCGGTTATCCGAACTCAGAGAGAGGTAGGAAGATAGACATGACAGGAACGGTTGCTTCAGTGACCTATGATATGTGGACCAAATAGGAATTGGCAGAAAAGTAAAAACATACAACTGCTTAAGCAGGCAAACGACTACACAAAACGACGCGTTTCCAAACAAACCCACCCAGGAAATCTACAAGTTGTGAAATAGTTTACAGGGTTGTTTTATTGGCCAAAAATACGTGATAAATTAAATAAACTTTCAGTGTAAAACCCAAAAGTACAGCTTTAGTAAACCACTGCGTTTATCCCACTATTCGCAAATCAATTGAATTATGGATGTCACGAGAAACGTTTTCATAAAACGACAATCAATAACCATGATATTATTGGCACTACGATATGTAGTGGGTGACAACTGGAACCTGCCTCATTTACTAGTACCTCACCGAACATTGAAGGCAGAATGCGTTACTGAACTGTTCGTTTAGATTAAACTGTCACTAATAACATTGGTAGAACGAAATCTCTCTATTGTTCTTTTTATAGCCTTCACTTACGATCGACTGGCGACCGAAAATCGATTGGTATCACATCTGTACCACTGTCCATTTGATTTGACTCGCATTGAAGGAGAAGCATGTCTTCAGGTAAGTTCAAACTAGCTTCTTTGAATACGCGAAAAATAAACCAGTGAACGTGCAATTAAACCAACTTATTTTGCAAGAAGCATGTAGCTTTCCCTCTGCTTCTTATGACTCATCCCTCCACTTGGCGTATCATTTTGGTTTCAATTTACCGAGTTTGCAAAAGTAGTCGCAAATGTGCCTGTTTATTGAAAGGCTGACATTCTCCTTGATGTCCCACTATCCCTTGGACAGTATCAAATCATAATGGTTTGTTTCACATGACGAATTGTTCGTGGCTCTCTCCTAATACGAATACACAGTGGAAATACTTGGCGTTATTTTAACTTGAACAGGTGAAAGCTTGTGTAGATTTCTCTCCTTCTTACAGCGACCGCTTATGAGGACCGTTAGCATCGGTCTCCCCAAGGTATGTACACTGTAAAGAGAAACCGTTATATGTAGTTATTCTCAGCGTATTAGTTGGAAAAAGAACTGGTTGGTATTCCGTAATTTGTTTGCTCGATTGTTTCGTTTTTGTTATACAGCAATCGGTGTTTGATGTTTACTCATCTTCCTGGTGTAAGTTTTGGAGGTGGATTGATATCCCTCTTCAATGGAAATAGTGTTTGTTCACTCGCTGGTTAAGTTACCTCTCTTCTATACTGAAAAATATTTCCTGTAAGACTTTACGAAACATCTGATGCACCCACCGATCCAATGTAAGTGTATCAGTATGAATGTAGGTTCTTCGGTTAGTGTAGAGTGCTGCATTACGCGAACGTCTTTTATTTTTTCAATTTTAAAGTAACTGGCAACTATGCTTCACTTATTTTGAGACAGCTATTTCTAGCAAAGTAAACAAATTTTCACGTCTTTCCCCATTATCTAGCCAGAAAAGTTTTAAAATGTGATTTGCTCCTAAACTATCCTACTATTGGTAGTAAATTCTATATCATGTGTAATTCCGACGCTTAGGTTGAATCGGAAATAATTCACCTGCACACGACATCACGTCAGGTTTCCAAGTCCCTTTGTAAAGGCTGTGTGTCACATTACAGCCACATTTCGGGGTTGCTTTAGGCCAAAACCCTATAATCTTACTGAAGGCCTGGCAATACAGAGAGCAAGATAATTCTGCCAAGACTTGAATCGGTCTACAAACAAAATACGAGCTGGTGTGTTAAACAGATCGATGCATGCAGAGCGATGAACACATTACTTGGCGCTGACTACGGGTTTCGCTCACAGACAAATACAAGTGACTCGACAGTGGAAGACAGCTTACGGATTCGCATAATTCACAACGACATAACCTAATGCGACGCACAGGGGCGAACTTGAAGAGCAAAGTTTAAGGCTTCGACTTTTCTGGAGTGCATTAGCAGTGTAAGGCTGTCTCAGTAGGTAGTAAGGAAGTTGCCTTTCGATACCCTGATTTAAGCAGAAGTCACAATACTTGTCATCATAATTGTCTCTCTAAGAAATTAAGACATATGAGGGAATTCCTGAAGAACAGACTGCCGAACAAGATCTCTGTTCAAACAGGGAGGATATTGAAAAGATTTTTTAAAATTGCTATCAGTTTTGGGACTACTTTCTTGTTTCTTTTCGAAATACTTTGGCAAGATTACCTCACATTACAGGTTCATTACATTCAGGTTGTTTAGTTTGCTAATGAATATTCGAAAGTTTTAATCGTCTGGTGTTTCAAACACGCATTCGAGTATGGAGTGTATTCTGGTTGATCACATCAGCTCTGTAGCGATACTTGTGTCTAACCTACATAGATGCGGACTAAATGGAAAAACCCTCCGTTAGTAGATAAGAATCTTGTAATGCTAGCGGCGTGAGGTCTGGTAAGATAGATATTGTGATCTCTGTGTCCTTTTTCTTTCCTGGAGGTTGGAGGCTTGTTAACGACACTGTAGTCAATGTTTTACCGGTGCAATGCCCGTCGTCAGATACTGCTAGTCCATTATTGGAGTCGCATTGATCTGTTCGACGGTGCTAGCTCAACTCAAGATGTTTCATATGAATGTGCAGCAAATGTACAAGAGGCTCAACGTGTGCTGGGGTCCCTGGTACCACTCACAGCCTGTTAAAGGAAACGTTGATCCCTGGCATCAGAAGTGCGTAAGTGAATCCAACGGTATTTAAGGTCTGTATTTCCTAGATGAAAGCTACTAGTTTCTCACCGGAGAGTCGCCAAAATCGAGGGCAGACTTCTAATCGGTGGGAAACAGTGATAACGTAGTGATGTAACCGTCGAAATGGTCTGTCGCTAATGTCTTTTGTTAAAAACTCCTTATCCGTCGTGAGGTTTAATTATCTGCAGTCAACTACCGTAGTCAAGACATAAACCATATTAGCCTAGGAAGAAAGGAAAGTCTATTCATTCTTCTGGAGCTTCCAGTGGCGGAAATGTTAAAAACCTGACATTTTTCGAGTGTAGGAAGGATGGCCAATTAGTGAGTTTTAAGGTTTTCCATTCCAGTGACTGAAGGCAGTAGGACAGTGGGAGAACTAAACAAATATATGGAAAAAAGCTCTCTGAATGCCCTGAAATATTTTGTCTGAAATCCCTTGGCGCGATAGCCATTCGTGTAGTATTCCGAGAAATGAGGACATGTAATCGATAATGTAACTCACCGTGCAAGAGACAAAACACCAGCTTGCTGAAAAGGTTATCATGAGAATTAGCCAATTAAATGATGAGTTGGAAGCTGTATTTAAAACCACTCGATTGAACACAAAAATTCTTGGAAATGAATTATTCAACAGCACACATAAACGGGAGTATGACAGTGTGATGTGCATATGTACAGACAAGTGGACAAAAGTTCTTCCCTACCACGATATCGTCTATTTATATTTCCTATGACCTATCCAGATAAGTGGTCGGCGTGAAATCTGAAGGGGAGAGAATTAAAAGGCAACCTATCAGGCACGCTGTTCAATTCACAACACTACTTCTACATTTAAGCTATATTATAAGGTTCCGATTAGAATGATAATAATTTGAGTAGTTGATATGTCAATGGTGTGTATAACAAAATTTTAATGAGAAATTCAGATTGCTTCTTTGCGACTTGTTGAATTCTTTATAGGATTAAATAAGATGATTCTGAATTTTCGCACCCTTCAAAAGTTGGTTAACATTAAATATCTAGATAAGTCTGTCCTAACAAAATATGTAATCGAAAACGGTTATTGTCCAGAACGACACTAAGAAGTACTCAATCGAGGTATATAGACTGAAGTCTGGTTATTTCTTTTGCTGAAATTAGAGCAAATCTCATATTTTGTGATAGCTTGTATAAAACTTTCTACTAGTCCACCTTGAAATGAAATCCACCCGACTAACTCTACATAATTCTCTGAAAATATTTTCCATCCCCCGTGTGCTCAGTTCGGCATGTTTATTACATTACTATGTTATAGGTTCGTGCGATTGATCTATGATTGATCTCGCACTTATAGTTCAATGGGAATAAATTATTTGCATATTTTCTAGAAATCTTTCCTTATTTCCAATTGAAGACACGTAATCATTTTGATGCGAAATCCGGAGTAACAGGTGTCCTCTCCCATCAGGCTTAACGCAGAGCCTATCTTAACAGGATTGTGAATGCACCCACCAGTGCGCGGAATTCATTTGTTATTGGTCAACATTCTATTGAACCCTGCGCTCAATTAGTTATACTCGTATAATTAGTCAATTTAGAACAATCTAGACCATTCTGTTACTTTGGTTTTGTACTATTCACTTGAAAACCTTTTCTTTTATCTTTCTTTAAGCAACTCTTGTTCACAATTTTTGTTCTGCCGTCGCTAAGTTTGCGGGGTTTTGGATCGATTGACCTTCAACTTTCTTGCGTATAATGCAATTTCTGATGAGTATTCGGGGATTTTGGCTTTCATATAGATTGAATGTCACCCACAACCGATCGCAGCTGTCGCGCTGCCATAGACTTTCCGGTCGGCCCCTCCCGAACAGAAGAAACACTAGACTCGAGTTGTGCTCTCAATAGAACTCGTCAGTAGTGCTTATCCTCGCCACTGCCGGGACTAGAACCACGGCCACGCTGTTCATGAGACAACCGTGCATACCACTGCACCATTGACCTCACATTAGGCACGACCAAATTATCACCGCATGTGAAAGTTCAACCACGTTCCTAATCGCGGGGTTATCTATTGGAGTTAACAGGCAGTAACTGTGTCTTCTATCGAGACGATCGGGCAACCTGATCATTACTCACAAGCGAAAGTGGTTGAGCGTTCACATATGATAAATCAGTCATGCCTAATGTGAGGTCATTGACGCAGTGGTAATCACGGTTGCTTCATGAACAGCGTGTCCGTGGTTCAAGTCCCGGCAGTGGTAAGGATATGCACTACTGACGAGTTCTAATGAGAGTGAAACTAGGGTCTGGTGCTTCTTTTCAAAAGGGTCGACTGAACAGTTTATGAGAACGCAACAGCTGCGATCAACTGTGAGTCATATGCAATCTATAATATAATTTATTGACATAAATTAACTGACGAGTTATAACCATGTGAAAGATCTTATGAACTGGACTTCACTGATGACCGGTCGCAGGTCTCACATGTCTATGGACTTTACGGCCAGTCGACTTCTAATAAACCGCCTCCTTCCGAAACAGATTGACTGAAAAGTCTTTTGATACCTGAGAGCTTCCATCGATTATGAGTGAAGTTCAGAAATCCCCCAATACTTACTCTTAACTGGACAATGAGTCATATAATTGTATTGTGTTAATTTGGTCGCGGTGTGATGTTGTCTAATCCACACGATAATGGCATACGTAAGTCCTATAGAAATCCAAATCTTAGTTGTGTTTGGAAAAACAATGATTTTACATTCTTTCATTTCATCTGTATCAAAAACAACTTATGTTCTTTTGATGTTTCATTCAATGTACAGGCACTAAATGGGTTCATTTTCATCATGTCTTGTGATGGGGAAGTGTTTTCTGTATCAAAAACAGTGGAACATTTCCTTGGATTTCATCAAGTAAGTTGTCACATTTGCTTAGACATTGAACTGTTCGAGCAAGGTTTTTCAGTAAACCCGGATTTATATCTCACTAAATGGTTATGATTACGAATATATTTTTAAAGAATAAAACGCCAGGTGTTACAATTTACTCATATTTCTTTCTCTCGGTAACTATTTCCTAAAAACACATCTTAATATACGCAGTATATTGGCTGGTAACAGTGGAACGTGTGCGGAGAAGGTGTTGTCTTAACAAATAACAGGCAGTGAAAACTTGAGCTGCGATCTTATTTGTGAACACCATTCATCATTGTTTTTAATCAGAGCAAATTTGGAGTTAGGAAACTGATCTAGTTGATACTGTTTACGGTTGCTTGGTTGTGTTTCTCGATTGATACTAGTAATCACTAGTGTCTTGACTTATCTGTTGTCTAAGGCATTAGTTAAGGGATGTTGAAAGAATCGATCTTCAATCTGAAATTATTTTATGATCGGCAGTGCTACTGGTAACCAAAGTGATCAGCCATCATCGGACTTAAACGATTTGTGTGGTTGCAAGTTCGATTTCTGACAAAAGTTCATGAGAAAAGCAAGCATAAATCTTAACCAATATTATTAAGGCAGTCTTTGCCTAAATAAATGTCTTTCTCACACTTTCGTAATCTCATTTACTTGAGATGTCTCAGAGATCGAAAGATACCGGATTACAGTTAAGGAAGTATGAAGTTTGAAGCAATAAAAATGAGTCAGAGCGTGACAGACTAGATGTTTAGCATGGGTAAAATATGTCAATGCTTCATAGGATGCATTTAAAACAGGTGATTGCTCAGGTATCTTTAGGTCAGTTTGGGAGAACAGTCTATATTTTTCATGTGATGTAATACTGAAGTGCTACTCACACGTCAGCTTAAGAACAAACTGCATTGTAGGATCTGGAAGCAAGTTAGTTAGTCGCTTTTACGTTCATCAATTTACGTAGTTTCTGGATTTATGACCGACATTGATGTACCTTTGACAGTAATCAAAGAATCAACCAACAAGATGTATTTTAATGGCAAGTCTATTGAAAGATTAGATAAGTCAGAAAAAAACAAATTGCGAACATTGTGAGCTTCGACTGGATTTGAACTTGCGACATAAACAGCATGTCAAAACTTGCAATCACTCTAGCGGCTGAGCTTTGAATTCACACCGGAAGTTCAGAACGTCTACAGTTACGCTTAGTTATCTATCTAACCCACTTGTGTTACATCAAACACATCAGATAATCAAACCTGCCCAACTGCTCATTAGTACTGCAGTTCCATAGCTCAGTATTAGTGTTGATGAAATGTACAATAAATTGATTGAGAAGCCCTGTTTAGGCAGTTAATGAACTGTATAATTTAGTGAATTCCATATGACAAAGAAAGTTGAATGATTACCAAGTTTAAGATTGACGTTTCTGAGATTTCGGTATAGTCTCATAGATCAGTTGATATAGCACGTGTTGCGTCTGGACATGCTGTTTTCTGTTGTTGGTTCGAACCTAACAGAAGTCCAGATAATTCGCAGTTGAGTTTCTTACAAAAGAATTTGTTTGACTTGTTACATTTATGCCAGACCATTCTCACCGATTTTGCTTGTTAGGTAAAGTTAGGCAAGGTTGTATTTAAGTACCGATCAAATACTAGTTTTGTTTAGCTAGACAGAACAACCACAACCTTCTCCCTCCTTGCATATCTTTACGGCAATTATCCAAAGCATTATTGGTTTTTCTGATCTATTGATTTCTTCATGTCAGATATTCTCTCGCTTTGGATTTAGACGTTAATATCACACACATACACACATAGGCATGCTGAATTATGGTGGTTTTAAGCATTCGGCCGTGGTGGTGATAAGCCGTCAGCTGATTAGACTTGCACCTGCAAAGCTGCCTGTCTATTGGGGTCTGAGCTCCGCTATACCTGGAACAGGCACATTATTGGTAACACTTATCCTGGCAGTCGTTTTCTAGAATGTTTTCACGGCCCTGTACAAATTAGAACCGTTGTCCAAAACACACGGTATAGACATTCACGTACCTCGCGGTTTGGAGAACACGTAGACATGTGCTCTCAAATACACTAACCCACCCACCCGTGTACATAGACCGTCAACCATAGACGCGATCTCATGCGGGAAGGGAATGTATTCAGTCAAATCGACTAAACTTTCAGTCATAACGAATAGGCGTTCTAACAAAGTGGCACACCAGGCCAGCTGTGAAGTCAGAGCATGTCAGCAGCTCCGAGGCATCACCAACCCTCTACAAATAATTGATTTCTAGCTGTTTGAATGAAATTCACCATTATGTACTATTTTGGGTTTATTTATACAGCTGCTAGTAATGCATTCTTAACTCAAAGTAGTTTAACTAGAGGTAGGCCCATGTGAAAAGCAATATTAGGTCGATTTATTCTGGTAGAAAATTTTCCTCAGAAGCTAGCGTATTTGACAAGTAATTTTCTGTAAATTGTTATACCTACAGCTCGTTTACTCTTTTGACAGAATAGAAAGCTTATATTCACTTATTGTTTCTAGGCCGATATTTTGCACCAAAGTGTACTTGAACTCATTCACTCCGAGGATCGAGAAGAATTTCGAAGACAGTTATCATGGAGAAGTTGCTTGCCACCTGAATTACAGTCGTGTACATTAAATGATTTAATGACTAGAGGTGAGTGCCTTACACCTGTCTTGTGGGAATATGTAACACTCGCTTTGTGTGGTCTGATGAAAAAGAGACTCCGCATTGTTATACGCATTCACCCATATTTATCAGTCGTTTGGTAATAGACGAAATCGATCATAAACCGCCCGTTTAGTAAATCTAATAAAACCGATTCTCCTTCACAAACACAGTTATCTATCCCGTTATTTGTACTGAATGTTTAAACAGCTGGTGTCTTACTTGATAAAATTTGGTATTTTGCATTACTCATCCACTAAAAGGCTTTTTAAGTTTGTTTCTACTCTTTGGAAAGTTTGAATGTGAACGCAAATGTTTGCAAAATAAGGAAACGTGTTGTATTCAAATAAGCCTGTAATTAATCATGATGCGTTTTTAACTGAGCTAGTCCCTGTGTCTCTTATCTTCCTACAGATGTTTGAAATAAGTCATTGCTGGAACTGTAACTTTGTGTACAATACTTGTAGATGATACTGTTCTACACAGGTTTTGACTGAAGTATATTTTGAATCGAACCGTACACAGAAACGAGCTTTGTTCAATTTTACACTTCCACATCTATTAGACGACTGTACATTCACAGTGCCTTTACTCTGATTTCAGAATTCTCTCAACACTTACGAAGAAGATTTACAGTCCGATTTCGTTGTCTGTTAGACAACACTTCCGGGTTTATCGTAAGTTGGATCGTTACGTGGCATATGTTATATAATTATACTGAAATGCTCCGGGCGCAAATTTTTCATATGATGCTTAATGATTCCTTTTTAGTGAAAACGTCGATTTTACCTGATCGAAGATACGATTTTTTGTGTTAAGATGAACGTGAGCATTTCTTGTGAACGAGTTGGTTGTATACAGAATTTCATACATCTGATAGCCATTGGCATGAGGTATATGAATTGCATGAATGTAGAACAAACCCGGCGTGTATAATATAACATACAAAATAAAACGTGAATAGAGAAGCACATTACGCAACTGATTGCGTTACATAAGAAACCGGTAGTAAAGAAGAGAGGCATTAGACTTTGTCTGTTTTGACAGGTTGATAAACATATATTCAAACATTTTCGGTTCACCTTGTGCTATCCAACAGACGTATATTCAAAGGCACACTACACTTGTTAGCCAATCACGCACATCCAAGTTAAAACAGTTCTATATGAGCTTATTCTATCCATTAACGTATTGGCAGGCCGTTCATTTCAAGCTGACGAACTGCAGTCAATTTCTTACTTCAGCCTTGAACTCACATTTTCGATTCATACATATAGACCGCGTTCGAAAGATCTTGTATGATTGACGGAAGCGTCGTGTCTGCGAACGGCGTGCAATAGAGTAGTACTTCTTCTAGTGCTTCTTTTCCGAAAGAGCCGACTGGAAAGT